GCCGTAAGTTGAGCGTAAAAACCAACGTCTGTTGTTCCATCTCCTGATGGAATGATCACGTATGAAACTAGGGTTGGTGAATAACCCACAAAAAATCCAAAAGTTACCAACATGAACGTGATAACACGTTTCTTCTTCTCAGATCTCCTTTCTCCATCTGTTTCTACACACACCGTGTTGGCGAAGTAAAGTCCCCTTATCAAAGTTCCATAGCAGTACATTATGATCGAGAGTTGAACAAAAGATACAACTACATTTAAGACCACACAATCTTTGCTTCCTTGATTTAAGTATAAAGTCCAAGGACCAATACATGTCTCACGAGTTTCACTCCATTCTTTAAAGAAAGTTTCCGGAAGACATATAAGAATACTTCCGACCCAAATGCAAGCGATCGCCTTCTTAACGTTGTCTTCTCTTAAGCGCAGTCCATTTCTGAAAGGCTTCAATAAAGCGTGATATCTTTTCACAGCTAGTACAGTTATGGTTAAGTAGGAAGCCATTATACAGAGTTCAACGAGCACAACTAACTTGCAAACGAATTTCCAAACTTCAAAGAAATACAACGGCCACAACAAAATGGTAATAATATCACTAGTGGCCATGCTCACCAGAAGATAATTTGTCAGCGTGTGCATCTCCCGTGTTTTGTGAACAATTCGTACTACCAACACATTTCCGATGAATCCAATGACAAGGAACGGGATGCTTGAATAGAATAAGGTATAAGCCAGGTTATAGATTTCATCCATATTGCGTCTCTTTATAAAGTAGCGTTCTAGCTTTTGTCTTATTTGATTGCGTGTATTTTGAGTTTAAAGACTGCAGTTACCTTTGGTCAAAGTCTCTTCGGAAATATTGAAAAGTCTAACTCGAAGTATTAAAAACTGAATCATTAAATAATGTAATTCTAGAGCTATGATTGGCTTAGCCATCGTGGTATATGAGCCATTTTACCATGCTCTCCAAATATGGTAACTGTAGCGTCTGCTCGGAATTTAAAACAAGCTGCGCACTCTTGGAATAACTGTTAATTAACTAACTTAAGAAAAGGTTTATATAACTTATGCATGTTAATTGTTCTATACCCAACACATGATTGTTTCAACATTACGCTCCATTTTCTGTCTTCATTGATTGGCAACCGGCCCTATTAATACGTACACTCGTTTATAGGTTAATAGGTTAGTCTTGATAATTTTTTTCGACAGGACCTGTTTATCGTTCCGAAAACAACTCATTTTAAAATCCAAATGGATTTCGATGTTTCAACATTACGCTCCATTTTCTGTCTTCATTGATTGGCAACTGGCCCTATTAATACGTACACTCGTTTATAGGTTAGTAGTTTAGTCTTAATAATTTTTTTCGACAGCACCTGTTTATCGTCCCGAAAACAACTTATTTTAAAATACAAATGGATCTCGATTTTCGAATAAATGTCTTCTTTGTAAATGCAACTTGCAGCCGGAAAATTATACATTTCCCAACACGTTTTTCATTTCCTTTACGCATAGAGCAATGGCAAAGGTCAATTAATTGTGTGTGTTCATACACTGTACCTTTCTATCTCTCCCTTCCCTAATGTAACTCTCGAATGCTGCCCACGCAGAGTAGCTGCCTTTCAACTGAACGCGGCGCCTTTTTTAAGTCAAGCGGCGGGTCCTGCTGTTCAAGTCTAGTTAAGGAAGAGTATAAAACCCTATGTTTCGTCCATTTCTCACATTTATTCTAATTTGTGAACAGTTGCTTTAATTGTTCCTTTTCTTTTCCTTAACTGGTAAAATAGAAGGTGTTTTTGATAAATTCTACTGGCATAACTAAATAAGGCTTATAACCTGTTATTACAAGAAGGCTCTGTTGATTAGTGAATACAGGCGATCGCGAAGTTATAAGTGGTGGGTGACAACGTTATAAGTCGCAATCGTTAGTTATATCTGTTATTCCAGTGAACCTTCGCCCCAAATGTTACAAATTTGACTACAATTTTAACAGGCGGATAGAATTACATACCACATACTTTATTATTATTATTGTTATTATTATTATTATTATTATTATTATTATTATTATTATTATTATTATTATTATTATTATTATTATTATTGTCTCTATTATCACAGTCTTTGCTGGTGTTCTTTTTGCGCATCAGCCGGGCGCAAACCATGCACCTAGAGCGTCAGTCACTCAAGTCAATCATTCTGTTCATACACTGAGCACCTTTCTAAGGATTCGTGCAGATCCCAGCATGCAGATCTTTTGAACCTCTGTCATACTAGCTCTCTCTGATACTTTCTTGATGTTTTCTACCATACCCTTCTTCACTGTACCAAGCGCACCAACAACCACAGAGATCACTACGGTTTTCATATGCCACATTCTCTGTATTTCTAGTTCTAGGTCTTTGTACTTGCATTTTTTTTCAGTTTCCTTTAGTGCGATGTTTCTATCTGATGGAACAGTCATATCAATAAGTTTGCAGGTGGAATTCACTGAATCT